TCAATGACTCTGTGTATTCCTTCCATCTTTTCTTGATGCAGTCTGCATCATTCAATAATTTGCCCAAAGAATCTTTCAATAACGAAATTTGAGGCTTGAATTTTTTCTTCAGTTCCCCCAGCTTGAGAAATGCTGACCGTGTTCTTCCTTTTTGGTTTGCTAATTCCAAATCTTTGCATATTTTATTATAGTATTTGGCTGTTATAGTAGGAGGATGTTATAACCTCCTCTTTCTAATATGGCCCAAGATTGATCCCAATCCTTCCTACTTTCAAGCTGTTATTAATAAAATAAATAAATAAAAAAGTTTCTGTTAAGTCCCATTTTGAGTTCTAACAAATACAGTGTATACCTTGACAATTATAAAGTGTTATGAAGAGTGAGTCAAATGCTCTAGTGCCATAAACAAATGTTACTGTCAGGAAAGTAGCCAATCCCTCACAAACTCTGTGTCTGTGTCAGAAATAAAGGACTTACCTTTCTTAAGGCAACGCTCAATGCTATCAGCTAAAGTCATTCTTCTTTCCAGGATAAATTCATAAAGCATTTTTGAAGACACTGCATTTTTAATACCTTCAAGAGCTGCCTGTCTTGTCTTTGCACTGTTAAAACACAAGAAAAAAAATCCAATTGGAGTTTACTGCCAAAGATCTTTAAAAACATTAGAAAAAATTTAGAAGACAATAAGCTATCTATTGTTGTTGTTAAGTACCGTGGAGTAGGTTCTGACTCACAAAGACCCTGCACGGGGTTTCTGAGGCCGTAATTCTTTACGGGAGCAGAAAGCCTCATCTTTCTCCCGTGGAATAGCTGGTAGTTTCAAACTGCCGACCTTGAGGTTAGCAGCCCGATTTGTAACCACTACGCTACCAGAGGAAACAGGCTGCTAATCACTCGATCAGCAATTCGAAACTACCAGCTGTTCAGCGGGAGAACGATGAGGCTTTCTGCTCCCGTAAAGATGTACAGCCTTGGAAACCCTGTACAGGGTTGCTATGAGTTGGAACCTAATCCATGGCACATAACAACAACAACAGTTATGTATAGAGTCCAGGTGTGGCGCTGCAGGATAATGTGCCAGACTATGAACTATGGCAGTGGTTTTAAGACCACCAGCTCCTCCCCTGAAAAAAGATGACAAAGATTTACAGTCTCAGAAACCTTATACAGGGTCATGAATAATTGGAACCAACTCAACACACACTGAACAACGTTATGCTAGAATAATGACTAATTTGAGTCAATCTAAATTCTGGTGGCACTCGCCTGCCTTAAAGTCCAAAAGAAAAGGAAACAATAAAACTTCATAATAAGCAAATCAGGCTTTAAAGGAAAACATACCATTGCATCAGAAAGCCGCACATATTAAATATATAAGATGACTGATTAGAATCATCCAGAATAAAGTTTCCAATACTTCCTACCTCTTATCCAGTGTCAAATCAATGAAGCCCTTCAACTTGTACTCTAAGTCTTCTTGAGTTCCTTCCTCATCAAGGACTTCTGGTCCTAAAAAATAATATAAACCAATCACTATCATTTAAGTAGGAAAAAAGCAGATGAGAGCACGTCATAGTATACACCTCAGTCACTAGAACTCCTTCAATTGAAATATCCTTTCATCTAAAGTTGCAGATAATTGAAAATCATACCATCCTCAGCAAAACTGGAAGGATCACTGTAACCACTGCAATGGCTCATTGTTTCAATCGATGCGTCCTCATCACTAAAAGGCTGAACAATTCGGTGCTGGCCACCTATAATAGAAAAGAATGAGGCAGATGATTTATTTTAAAGAAATACAGTACTGTACACACCCAACCTTATGCTTTAAACAGGGATAGTTACATTTCTAGTGATGCTGTGGGCTTAAACAAGGTCAGCAGTTCAAATCCACCAGCTGATCTTGGGAGAAAGATGAGGCTTTCAGTCTCAGAATTGACTGATGGCAATGAGCTTGATTTGGTGAATTATAAAAGAGCACATGAAAACATTCCTAAAATAAGAGTCATTTCACCTAGCCTGTAGTTCTGAGCACTAGCTATTTACATTTATCTACTCCAGAAATAGATGAGTCACCTAACAGGAGAAGAGCAAAGTCTGCACAGGAAGGGGTGCCACTGGCCAATAGGTGAGTACTTCAGGTCACTAGAAGAACATAGGGACTAAGGGAGAACCTCACCCCCCACCCCCACCCAGCTGTCAACCTCACAGTCCTGTGCCTCCAGGTCACTGCCTCCAAGCTGGTATGGATCAACCGCTGCCAGCCAAGGCTCAAAATGGCAGCCCCACTACAGGCCAGCTGGGCCTCTCTCACCCTCCTGCTAAGCTTCTTCTCCCAGTCAGCACTCAATCCACCTCTCTATCCTTCCCTCTGAAACTCAGGGTGTTCCAGGACACCATGCGTAACCGTTTTATTTGGTCTCCAGTGTCCTCATTGCAAAGGGTATGCTCAGTACACCTGCCTAGGCCGCCATCTTGTCCGAGAAGTCCCAGCATCCATTTTGGGTAATTAAAGGAAAAAAAAAAAAACTGATATGAAATACAGAAATCTCTTCCAAACCATGACTTCAAATTATGGAGACAATGATGATCGATTCAGAAATAGAACTACAATGTCACTAATCATAAGAATCAAACAGAAGAGATATTTTCCAAAGACACTGGCTATTCTTAGTAAACATAATGTGAGAGTTCTTGGATTGGGTGCGTCTTATATGAAAGGGAACATAGGAGAGAACAAAGCCTAAGGAGTCAAGGAAGGAGGTGAATAGTTTTATTGCAGGGGGGGGGGGGGATCTTAGAATAGTTAGTATTTGATATAATCGAAAAGTCTCTTGGACTCCTGGTGTGGTACTGTCAGATCAGCACTGAACTACAAACCACAAGGTTGGCAGTTCAAATCCATCAGCTGCTCCTTGGAAACCCTATACGGGGTCATTATGAGTCAAAACTGACTGGATGGTTCTTAACAACCACAAAAGTCTCTTAGACAATCTTTAAAATAAAGGTTCCAACATATCCAACAGCTTTAAAACAGCAATAGTGTTACTACAAAAATATTAAAATCCCTTTTTAAAACTAGATTTTTTTCAACATCACTACATAAAAACCATAAGGAATGAATAATCAGTTATTTCTATAAGAATTTCATATTAAAAGGAATGTGCCGTCATGTATTACATTGAGCAGAGTTAATATAAGATAAGGCTTCAAAAAGTTCACGGAAATTTTCCATTATCTTTTCATTCCATTTGTCCATGAACTTTTTGAAGCTCCCTCAAACATCCCAAATACTGTCCCTAAAGTGACCTTGTGCATGACACCTGATGCACTGCTAAACTCAAGTTCCCTGTCAGTAAGTAAAATTAGGATTGTACTCAAATATCAGAGTCCTGGTG